GGAACATGGTACAAAGTAGTGAACTTTGAAAATTCTGGGAACCCTTAAAAACTACATGCCACATTTTGCCCATGTGCCATCTATTTGAACTCTCAAAAGTTTCAAAAAAAACACTGAAAGTATTGTAAGTGGACAAAGAGGAAAGGGCTTGTGGAAACAGAAACAGAACTTATTCTGAAGTGTAAAAAGAAAAGAAGTTTAATCAAATGGACTTTAATAATTGTTAAAATATTGAGAGCAAGAGGGGCAATGGAAAATCCAGTATTCCCAGATCGTACTGGCCATTTTGAGGAATCAGATGGCTTGTAAGAGGTCACGCTGGAAAGTGGATCCAGCATCCCAAGGCCTGGTTCATTCCTTGCTCTTACCAGACACACTTCCTGTCCTTCTCCATAGAAACCAGGGTCATGTGATAGAGATTCCTGGGCTGTCCCTCTTCTGACCTCACGGACATTCTCTCACTTGATTTCCTTCCAGAAGTGGAGCAGATCGAGGCCATTGCCAAGTTTGACTATGTGGGTCGGTCCCCTCGTGAGCTGTCTTTCAAGAAGGGGGCGTCCCTGCTCCTCTACCACCGTGCCTCAGAGGACTGGTGGGAGGGTCGGCACAACGGTGTGGATGGACTCATCCCTCATCAGTACATAGTTGTACAAGACATGTGAGTGGGAATTGGAGCCTTCTGGAAGAATGTGGTGATAGATTAGTAATGTCTGGAACAGGCAGTGGATGAGAAATACTAGGCTGAATGCTGGCCGTTTGTTCTCCCAGATACAGTACGCTTAATGTTCTGTAAGAAAAGGTTGTTACATCCCCTAAATGGTAAAAACAAATATGAATTGCTCATTTGCCCCTGGCCACAACCCAGATCCCTCAGTCAGTTCCCACAACCTTCATCACCCACCATGGTTCTTAGCACCCAGTGGATTTTCCCCTGTTCCTCTACTTCCCAGTGGCCAGTGACAGCTTTCCATCTCTTTCCATCTCTTCCCTTCCCACTGTTCTTATGTCCAGATGTGGCTCTCTCAGGAGATGTGCTGAAACAAACACACCCTGTTTCCAGTTAATAGAGTACCTTATCATTTCAAGGGTTAAAAATTGTCTGCTTCCCAAATACCTAACCCTATAGAACATCTCAGACAGTTGACACGTCCCCATTCCTTTGGAGGCCATTGAAGTCTCCTCCTGTGCACACATTCCCTGCTCAGGGCAGATTGGTCGTGGAAGCCATTGCTGGTCTAAGCCTCACAGAAAGGGACCAAAAGCCTGTGCTTTTGTGACAGAAGGAACGGCCAAGACCAGACAAAGGCCAAGGCCAAGCAGACAGTATGAGGAATGTCATAGTAGTGGGGATCCCGAAGCCTCTGACACCATGAACAAGTCACTGGAAGGGAGAGAGCTATGGGAGGAGGCTAGCAGAACACCTCAAGAAGCTTGAGATCCCCTCGCAATTGTCCCGCCCCTTAGATGGGACAGTGACTAAAGGACACACCTCTTCTTTCCTCACGCAGTCCTGAACCACTTCTCATGTAGCTCCATGGAGTCTTAGAGACTTGAATTCTGCCCAGCTTGCAGAATTCCACATGTCTCCAGCCTGTGTCTCCAGTACAAAGCTTTTCCTAGCACAGACACATTCAGAAAATAACAAACTAAAGAAGGGGAAGGAAAGTAGCCATGAGTTGGTGGGACAAAAGAGTGTCTCTTGCAAGAGACGGGCTCCAGGAGCCTTGCAGTGGGCACACATGGTGGAAAGGTGGTTCTTCCTGAGCATCAGGCACAGATCGCCACATGGGGGCGGGGGTGGTGTTCACTTGGTCCCCAGCCTTGGACGGAGGAGCTGGTGTGGAGGGAGGAGTCTCCAATGATTCATGTCTCTCTTTTCACCAGGGACGATGCCTTCTCTGACAGCTTGAGCCAGAAGGCTGACAGCGAGGCCAGCAGTGGGCCTCTGCTGGATGACAAGGCCTCCTCCAAGAATGACCTCCAGTCTCCCACAGAGCACATCTCGGATTATGGCTTTGGGGGGGTGATGGGCCGGTAGGAAATGCGGGTTCATTTTTTTTCTTTCCTGTCAGTGCCTTGTGGGTTGTGTCTGAGTTGAGAGAAGCAAGAGGGTGGCAAAGAGAGGGGGAGGCTGTTGTAGCCTTTGCTCCCACAGCTGTGATGTAGGTGGGCTGGCTGGACCCGGCTCAGAGAGCCAAGTCCAAAATGAGCTGACTTTGTTTGGGTAGTGGGTGGAGAAGGAAAAGGGCAGATGAACTTAGGGAACTCGATGCTTTTTACTTAATAATGACAGGCCAGTCATTACATGGTGAGACTCTGCCTCAAAAAAAGTAACAATGATGATGATGTAAGTAAGAGAGAAATTGGCATTATTTCCCCCCTTCTCTACACCTTTTCCCAGCTTTCTGTTAAAGACCTGAGTTGTTATACGTATCTTAAAAAATGTAAAGTAGCTCATATACTTCTTGAAATATATTACATAAACAGAGAACTCACACCTACTCATGTGGGAGGGAAATTGATACTCAACTCTACCCACTTATTGGATGGGAGAAAATCTGTCAGTTTCTTCACACCCCACAGGGCAGGGCTGAGTCACATGACCTTTCTACGAAGAAGTATCTGTGCCTATTATTCTGAGGACAGGTTATGGTCCATCATAAGCTGATTTTATATATATATATAGAGAGAGAGAGAGAGAGAGAGAGAGAATGGGATGAAGAGAGAGGGGGAGGGAGGGAGAAGGAAAAGAACAAAAAACGCTGATAGTCTCTCATTGCTTTTATTATTGGACTTAAAATGTCATACTCTGTGCTTCCACCCATGGAAGGGTTATGTGACTAGTCCTCATGTGCAGGTCTTTGC